TACATAAATATTTACAATGGTTATATATTCTTCTTAGATTGATCCCTTGATCATTATGCAGGGTCCTTCTTTGTCTCTTGTAATAGTCTTTAAAGTCTATTTTGTCTGATATGAGAATTGCTACTCCAGCTTTCTTTTGATTTCCATTTGCGTGGAATATCCTTTTCCATCCCCTCACTTTCAGTCTGTATGTGTCCCTAGGTGTGAAGTGGGTCTCTTGTAGACAGCATATATACGGGTCTTGTTTTTGTATCCATTCAACCAGTCTATGTGTTTTGGTTGGAGCATTTAATCCAATTATATTTAAGGTAATTGTAGACATGTATATTCCTATTACCACTTTCTTAATTGTTTTGGGTTTCTTCTTGTAGGTTTTTTCCTTCTCTTGTGTTTCCTGCCTAGAGAAGTTCCTTTAACATTTTCTGTAAATCTGGTTTGGTGGTGTGGAATTCTCTTAACTTTTGCTTGTCTGTAAAGGTTTTAATTTCTCTGTCGAATCTGAATGAGATCCTTGCTGGGTAGAGTAGTCTTGGTTGTAGGTTTTTCCCTTTCATCACTTCTAAATATGTCCTGCCACACCCTTCTGGCTTGCAGAGTTTTTGCTGAAAGATCATCTGTTAACTCTCTGGGGATTCCCTTGTGTGTTATTTGTTGCTTTTCACTTGCTGCTTTTAATATTTTTTCTTTGCATTTAATTTTTGATAGCTTGATTAATATGTGTCTTGGCGTGTTGCTCCTTGGATTTATCCTGTATGGAACTCTCTGAGCTTCTTGGACTTGACTATTTCCTTCCCCATGTTAGGGTAGTTTTCAACTATAATGTCTTCAAATATTTTCTTAGACCCTTTCTTTTTCTCTTCTTCTTCTGGGACCCCTATAATTCGAATGTTGGTGTGTTCAATGTTTCCCAGAGGTGTCTGAGACTGTCCTCAATTCTTTTCATTCTTTTTTCTTTATTTCACTCTGCAGTAGTTATTTTCACTATTTTATCTTCCAGGTCACTTATCCTTTTTCTGCTATTGATTCCTTCTAGAGAATTTTTAATTTCATTTATTGTGTTGTTCATCATTGTTTATTTGCTCTTTAGTTCTTCTAGCTCCTTGTTAAACATTTCTTGTATTCTCTCCATTCTATTTCCAAGATTTTGGATCATCGTTACTATCGTTACTCTGAATTCTTTGTCAGGTAGACTGCCTATTTCCTCTTCATTTGTTTGGTCTGCTGGGTTTTTACCTTGCTCCTTCATCTGCTGCATATTACTCTGTCTTCCATTTTGTTTAACGTACTGTGTTTGGGGTCTCCTTTTCACAGGCTGCAGGTTTATAGTTCCTGTTATTTTTGGTGTCTGCACCCACTGGGTGAGGTTGGTTCAGTTGCTTGTGTAGGCTTCCTGGTGGAGGGGACTGGTGCCTGTGTTCTGGTGGGTGGGGCTGGATTTTTTGTGTTATGGTGGGCAGAGCTGTGTCTGGTGGTGTGTTTTGAGGTGTCTGTGAACTTGGTATGATTTTAGGCAGTCTCTCTGCTAATGGGTAGAATTGTGTTCCTGTCTTGCTAGTTGTTTGGCATGAGGCGTCAAGCACTGTAGCTTGCTGGCCGTTGGGTGGAGCTGGGTCTTAGCATTGAGATGGAGATCTCTGGGAGAGCTCTCGCCGATTAGTATTACATGGGGCCAGGAGGTGGCTGGTGGTCCAATGTCCTGAACTCGGCTCTCCCACCTCAGAGGCTCAGGCCTAACATCAGGCCAGAGCACCAAGACGCCGTCAGCCGCACAGCAGTACTCAGAAGGAGCAGTGGGTCACCCTTGTGGATGAACGGGAGTACACACCAAGCGGTAATCTTATTTTTAAAAAAGAAACGTCCAATAGAAACCTCTTGCTTCATTGTCTTCTTAGGATCAAAGTACATTGAGTAGTACTTCATAAGAGATACATATAAGACTATTGTAAGATAGTCTTACAATATATTGTAAGACTACTATAAGGTATATTGTAAGACTATTTGGAGAACTGCCTCTAAATATTATTTTTCTTTAAATATAAATGCTTGTGTTAATAATGGGTGAGCAGTTAATACTTATGTCTATGATTTATGAAGCACTGTGTTTTATCCATTCAGTCATTCACTCCACAAATATGCTGCTATTATGTTCCAAGATCTGTGCTTGGTGTCCGGAATCCTCGGAGGATCTATAGTCTTGTTTGGAAGAATGACAAACAGTTACAATATAGTATGTGTGATAATGATAATTGCAATAGCAATTAATGTTTATCCAGCCTTTCATTTAGTATTGTGCTAGTGTAACTGCCCATTTTCCATAGGAAAAAAAGAATATTTTAAAGAGGTTTAATAAATAGTCCACAGTTACAAAGGTAGTGTTCAAACTCAGGACTTCAATAAATCCAAGAATTTGGAACTAAGGAATGGTTTGATAAATGCTCTGGCTTAAAAAATTTTATCCAGGGACTTCCCTAGTGGCACAGTGGTTAAGAATCTGCCTGCCAGTGCAGAAGACATGGGTTCAAGTACTGCTCCAGGAAGATACCACATGCCACAGAGCAATGAAGCCCGTGCACCACAACTACTGAGCCCATGTACCACAACTACTGAAGCCTGTGTGCCTAGAGCCCGTACTCTGCAACAAGACAAGCCAGCACAATAAGAAGCCCGCGCACCACAACCGAGAGCAGCCCCTGCTCGCCGCAACTAGAGAAAGCCTGCGCGCAGCAACAAAGACCCAACGTAGCGAAAAAATTTAAAAAATAAACAAACGAATAAATTTATTTTCAAAAAGAAAAAAAATTTTATCCAGTAGTGGTATGTGGGATCAATGAGAATAGGGAGAGATTGACACTTAAGAGCAGAGTTAGTAGGTTATTACAATAGTCTGACAGAGAGTAACAAAGGCTTGAACAATAGCTAGGGGAATTAAAACATCACAACAGGTTGAAGCCATTTTGAGATGGACTCTGCAGTAATTTACTTAGCTTCTATGCCGTCTGCACGGAAGTGAGTCCAAAGTCCTATGCTTGGGCCAAGCTCTGTGGGGTATCAGACTATCATTGCCTTAGGAGAAAAACTGATGATGTAACTCAGCTGTAAGTGGCTTCCTAATTTCCTTCCATTCTTTCTTCCTCAACCCATACCAGCTAGAACCAACGTCCTGTCCTAGAATTTTAATCTCTAAGCTTCCTGTCACTCTGCTCACCTCTACCACCCTCCCCAGCTTTGCATTCCATACTGTTAAAATCCTCATCTTCCCCCCATCTGAGAGTCTGCAAGCAATGGAGTTTGCATTCACTCTACTTTCTGATCTTGGCCTCAAACTAATTTCAGATGATTTTTCCTACACTGGTGCTCACCATATCAGGTTTCTTAGCCCTGATTATGCATCATGAAATAAAACACCAAGGAATCAGTGAAGGTGCACACAACAGGTAACACTGGAGTCAAAGGATTTGGAGACAAGAGTGGTGAATGTAGATTGGGTCTCTAGAAGTTAATCGCTCTGAATTGCAACTCCTTAGCCTGCTAAAGGTGATAATAAAACTCATGCAAAAAGTCCCTTGTCATAATCAAATTATACAGATATACATATGTATTTTCATTAAAGAATATTATTTTTTAAAAGTCCTATAGTTCATTTCTCTGAATTCCTTGTATCTGAAGAAAGCTGAGCTAATTTGTTCATGCAGCCATAAACCAAACAATTGTTAACTCTATAACAACGTAATACTTAGCCAAGATGTTAGCAAACTTTTCAAAAAGCTAACATTAAAAAAAAATGAAATTAAAGGCAAACATAGTAAGAGTATTACAGTCATTATGCCTACCTCCAAAAACAATCTTATCAAGCTTCTAAAAAGACAGTGCCCTGGAGATTTTCTGTACCAAAGTTTAAATATTGTGCAGCTCATTAATCAAACAAACACAATCTAAATAAAGAGTAACTATGTCATATGGCCATAAATTACAAGCTTGAGGAAAATCCACACAGTAAAGCAGCATGATAAAAGGTGATCACACATTTTTTTTTAAGCTAATTCCATGGAACATGCTTGGCACCTATTAATAACTGTACTGAATGAAAGGAGTATGTTGACTGCCTGAATGAATGACCATCAGTCTCAAAAGCATCACCTTTCAGGGCTAAAGCCAACAATCTATTAAACATGAAATTACTTATGCAAATTTTGAAGCAACTTTAAAAATGATGATGATGATAATAATAAAGATGATGGGGATGTTGATGATAGTGGTAGCAACAGGACTTACTCTGACTCAGGCACTGTTCAAAGTACTTTACACGTGATAACTAATTTTGTCTTCATACTAACCCTCTGAAGAAGGTTTTAATATTATTTCCATTCTACAGACCAGAAACTAAGGCAAAGATGGATGAGCAACTTGCCTAAGCTCCTAGAAGTAATAAGCAGCAGAGCTGGGATTTGAACCCAGGCAGTAGCTAGGGATGAACTGGAGATTAGTGCAGAGCAAAGCAAGTGCCCGTAAACATGACAGCAACTAACTTTGTATAACAAGTTACTCACACTAAAAACATGAAAAATCCAGGCTGATAGGTTGGGTTCATTTTATACACATAGAGTAAAATATTGCAAGACTGTTAAAACACAAGGCACAAGATTGTTAAAACACAAGTAATATTCAAGGAGCTGACATCTAAGAAAAACACTGCACCACGATGAACGCTGCAATGTTCACTTTAAACTGTTGTTCAAAGAGAAGAAAAAAGCAATTAAGAAATCCAGGTTGCAGAAGAGCTGGAAGCATTGAGGCTCATTTGTATACATGTTTGTCAGGAAGTTCTCATATCATATTAAGAAAATGAGAGAAAAAAGTAATTTAGCAATTAATTTTAGAATTAGGTTTCACTCAAGTATTCTACTTATCTTGATGTTTCCTATAAAATAAAAACTATAATCTAAAAAAAAACAAACATTAAATTGAAATAAAATATTCTTATTCACATAAGTAGAATATACCTCAATGCATCCATTGTTTTCGGTGATGTCAAGAGTTCTGTCTGCACACCATTCATAACTTCATCTTCTAAGTCCTGTGTGGAATTCTGTAGTGAAACAAACCCATAAGCATGTGGATGTTATGCACATAAAATTGAAGGTTTGAATAAAAAGTCTCAACAGGAGAGAGTAAATGGTTTTACTCTGGATATATACAGCGTGCTCCAATTTCTTTGAAGACTGGAAACAGGTGCTAATCTTTTCAGTGCTTTCAATGTTCTTTTCTCTTCCGTTTGGTTTCTGAAATACTCAAACGGGCCATTTACACAAGGCAGTATGTTAAGAGCTTTGGAATACATCATTTAGCTTCCTGCTACTCAACCATAAGCTTTCGGGACTGAGTGTTTTAAATCAGCAAGGAAAAGGGGCACCAAAGGGAAGGTTCCATTGACAGGTAGTGATGTATTAGCTTTAATGTACTGTACTTGCTTGCATCTCCCTGGTGACACTAAAAATATAAAGAAAGCAAAATTCATGAAAAAAGGGTTGCCTGGCAAGGTCACTTCTATCAAAAGTGTGACAGGACTAGTGCAGGAAAAGAAATCTGGAGTTCTTACTTTGCCTTAAGACTTTAATTCTGAGGATGATTTTCAGCACAGAGAAACTAAAATTAACCACTTAACTTCTAAAATGGTAAACACTCTTCTACTGCAGAGAGGTAAGAGGGCAAGAGAGGTCCTGCACTCCAGGATGGTGGTAAAGTTGAACTGGGTGATACATAGAGGAGAGATGGATTCTAGAAAGCCAGCCCGCTTGAGATTCTCATTTAGTAAGACATTAGTCCTCTGTTAGGCTTTGGAACTGAACTTTTTTTTCTTTTTTTAAACATCTTTATTGGAGTATAATTGCTTTACATTGATGCGTTCGTTTCTGCTTTATAACAAAATGAATCAGCTATACATATACGTATATCCCCATATCTCCTCCCTCTTGCGTCTCCCTCCCACCCTCCCTATCCCACCCCTCTAGGTGGTCACAAAGCACCGAGCTGATCTCCCTGTGCTATGCGGCTGCTTCCCACTAGCTATCTGTTTTACGTTTGGTAGTGTATATATGTCCATGCCACTCTCTCACTTCGTCCCAGCTCACCCTTCCCATTCCCCGTGTGGAATGAACTTTAACAGAGTAATTCTGCAGACACATCACTCTTCAGAAGCAGAGTCACAGATAGCGCTCATTACAAACTTGGATTTCACTGAAACAAACTACATGGAGCATTCATGGATCTAAATGTATCATTTCAACCAAAAAATGCAACAGATGAGTTAAAAGGCTGGACATAAAGGAATTAGGTTAATATTTTGAAGAAAACAAGACAGGGAGGCACAACTTAAGCAGTGTGTCATTGTGAACTGATTAAAAAAACTTACTTCATTTTTAGATTGAAGAGCAACATTTCACCTAGGGGTTGGTAGTTTTGGGAAGCACTTGATCTACACTAGATTTAAAAAATTTATTCACTTTTTCGTCTTCATGAGGATAAAGAAAAAAAAATCCAAAAAGTTGAAGGATGCTTTTTAGTGTAAGGTACTAAATCTTAAAAGATGAATGTCTTTGAAAGCTTTCAAACATTCACCTTATTATGAAGGGCTTGATGTGTGCTTACATTGAAAAGTCACAGGGTTGGGCAGGTTACAAAAATACTTGAAGAGACAATTTAACAAAATATACATACTTGTGACTACTGCACATGACAGAACATTTGATGACTGAATTTAGGTCAAAATCAAAATCACTGACTTTCTCATCTCTCTCTCTCACAAGAGGGAGCTCCATGAAGGGTGAGGCTGTATCTAGTCTCTCTACATTAAGCACACAACACACAGAATTGATTTAGTGAACGTTAATGAGTAAATAAGCTGAATGGCATTCTATTAGCTTCCTAATACTGTGCAATAAATTCAAAATTAAATGGCTAAAAAACATTATCTCCCATAGTTTCTGGGAGAGATTTAGAAGTGGCTTGGCTGGGCAGTTGTGGGGTAGAATCTCTCATAAGGTTGCAGTCAAGGTGTCAGCAGGGCTGCAGCTGCAATCATCTAAAGGCTTAACTGGAGCTTTAAGATCCACTACTTTTTCTCTTATAAAAGCTTCATTAAGATATGCTTTATATAACATTAAACACACCCTTTGAAAAAGTACAGTGCAGTCCTTTTTCACTTATTCACAGAGTTTTGCAACCATCACCACTATGTAATTTTAGAACAATTTCAAAACCCCACAAAGAAACCCCATACTCATTAGCCAGCACTCCCCATGTTTTCTGCTTCCCACAGCCCATGGCAATCATTTACTTTCTGTCGCTAAGGATTTTTTAAAAAATACAAATTTATTTATTTGTTTGTTTGTTTATGGCTGGGTTGGTCCTTTGTTGCTGCACACAGGCTTCCTCTAGTTGCTCTTCGTTGTGGTGCGCGGGCTTCTCACTGAAGTGGCTTCTCTTGTTGCGGTGCACGGGCTCTAGGCTCAGTAGTTGTGGCTTGTGGGCTCTAGAGCGCAGGCTCAGTAACTGTGGCGTGAGGGCTTAGTTGCTCCGCGGCATGTGGGATCTTCCCGGGCCAGGGCTCGAACCCAGCAGGGGCATTGGCAGGTGGATTCTTAACCACTGCGCCACCAGGGAAGCCATGTCGATAAGGATTTACCTATTCTGAACATTTTATATAAACAGAATCATAAGATATGTGGCTTCTATCACTTAACATGATGTTCTTAAGACCCTCCCATGTTGTGGCATGTATCAGTATTTCATTCCATTTTTTGGTCAAATAATATTCCACTGTATGGATGTACCACATTCTGTTTACCCATGCATCACTCTATGGGCATTTGGGTTGTTTCCACTTTTGCTTATGATTATGAATTATGCTGCCACGAATATTTGAAAGTGTTCAATTGTGAAATAATGCTAAGAATGAGAAATTCTTGCACGGACAGATGTTTTTCATTTCTCTCAGGTATACACCTAGGAGTGGAATTGTTGGGCCATATCTTAACTCTATGTTTAACATTTTGAGGGACTGCTATAGTATTTCCAAAACATCTGCACAATGTTGCATTCCCATCAGTAACATATGAGGGTTCCAATTTCTCAAAATCCTCACCAACACTTGTTATTTTCCTTTTTTAAAAAACAATTTAGCCATCATAGTGGGTGTAAAGTGGTTTTTGCTTTGCATATACCTAATGACTAATGATTTGCATTTCCCTAATGATTAATGATGCTGAGCTACTTGTCATGAGACTGTTGGACATTTGTATATCTTCTTTGAAGAAATGCCTAATTATTTGTATTTTTATTATTGAGTTGTAAGAGTTTCCTAAACATTCCATATACAAATTCCTTACGTATATGATTTCCAAATCTTCTCCCATTCTATGGGCTGTGTTTTCACTATCTTGATAGGCCCTTTGAAGCACAAAAGTTTCTAATTTTAATGAAGTTCTATTTATTTTTTCTTTAGTTCCTTGTGTTTTGGTGTCATATCTAAGAAATACTGCCTAACACAAGGTCACAAGGATTTACTCCTATATGTTTTCCTAAGTGTTTTACAGTGTCAGCTCTTACATTTAGGCCTATCACCATTTCTAGTTAATTTTTGTACACTGTGTGCAGTAGGGGGTCTGACTTCATTCTTCACATGTGGCTATTTAGTTGTGCCAGCACCATCTGTTGAAAAGACTATTCTTTCTGCACTGAGTTGTATTAACACCCTTACCAAAACTCAATTGACCAAAAATGCAAGGGTTTACTTCTGGACTCTCAATTTTATTCTATTGATCTATATTTGTATCCTTTTGCCAGTACTACACAGTCTTGATTACTGTAGCTTTGTACTAAGTTTTGGAATCAGGAAGTAAGAATTCTCCAATTATTTTTTTAAGTTTGTTCTGACTATTCTGGGTTCTTTGCATTTTCATATGAATTTTAGAATCTGAGCATCAGGTTTTGCAAAAGTGCTAGCTGGATTTTGATAAGGATCACATTGAATCTGTAGCTTAATTTAGAGAGTATTACCATCTTAACAAAATAAGTCTAGTCTATGAACAGTTAACAGTGGCAGTTATTAAACCAAATATTCTTTTTTGGCTTTGTAATACTATATAGACATACATCCTCGGGATGTCAGAGAAAAAACTGGGATGTTTGTTATAAGGTTTTAACTGTATTTTTGACTCTGCTCCTTACTCCAACTGTAATTTTCTTGTTGATCCCATGCCAAGGTAAGAAAACAACGTATTTTCTGGTTCAAATCAACGTTCCGCAAGGTTCAAAGGAATTTTTTTTGAGTTCTGGTTAGATAGTAAGTAAAGGTTTTATTTATGTCAACGAAGTACCTAATGCTCCGAGTATATGAAAATGTCAATTAGAATTTGAAAGCAATACTGGCCCAACTGCAATGTGATAATCTGCTCAAGGGTAATTCTGAACTGACTACACTTATATAGCAATCATGTCAATCACTACAGACTTAAAGAAAAAACACACATTCACAGATTTATGTGTCTAAGACAAAAGTTCTACTATTTTAAAAGCTGCATCAAAAACTCTGCTTGCCACAGCTATCAAAAAGGGTAGTTAAAAAAAAAAAAAAGCTTCCGTGGTGGCGCAGTGGTTGAGAGTCCGCCTGCCGATGCAGGGGACACGGGTTCGTAACCCAAGTCCGGGAAGATCCTACATGCCGCGGAGCGGCTGGGCCCGTGAGCCATGGCCGCTGAGCCTGCGCGTCCGGAGCCTGTGCTCCGCAACGGGAGAGGCCACAACAGGCCCGCGTACCGCAAAAAAAAAAAAAAAAAAAAAAAAAAGGGTAGTAACTATAGTTTATTATCTCAACTAATGGGCAGTGTTTGTCACTTGCCAAAATCATTTCTATATATTGAAGTAAAAGAATTCTTTGATATTCTCTAGAGATGGGGCAGGCAGACAGATGCTTAGGACATCCTACAAGGACACAAAGCCAATTCTCAATTAACTTCAACAATACTGTAGCAGCGCAGTGCTTCAAGACTTAGACAAAGACAGCTTATTTCTTGACAGGGTCCATAAAAA